ATATATATATATATATATGTATAATGATTATTAAAATATAATATTTGTGTATATTTTATTTAATAATCAAGCATTTTAACCTAAAATTGTAAACTATATAGTAGCAAGAATTATTTTCCAGGCATTTTATTAAGGCCCAGATTTAAGAGAGAACGTATTTAATTTTAAAAATTTTATTGCATAGTTCAGAAATGTATTCCCAAAATTTCATTTAAATGTAAAAACAATGAAGCACCATAGGGTTTAAATTGTTGTCCTATGAGTCTCTTTAATAAGTTTTTTTAAGTGTGTTTTTTTGTTTGGGATTTTCTCCTACCCTCAACAAACAAGTTAGGAAGGCAGTTTTTGAAATAGGATTTCCACCTTTTTAAAATATACCTTTTTGCATATATTCTTTTGAGAAGGCTCAATAATGCTATAAATATGTAGTATCATATGAAATGTTAAGTTATAGAGTAATGTTGTTAATGAGCATTGAAAAGGCAAGGGGGCATATTTCAGATTTGTTTGAAATATGGCATACATTTTGTACATACCATAGGTGCCAGTAGCCATTGGATAAGGTTTTAGTTTTATTTTCTCCTCTACTACAGAAAGGGTGTTTGGACTATGAGTGGAAATGAACTAGGAAGGCACATTGTTAGAAAACTTGCATTGTATTTGCTGTATACAGTTTGACCTGTAGTTGAATATCAACATAAACACCTAACATTTTCAAAATTTCATCAAATATGTTTTCTAATTTTGGAATATCACAGCAGTTTACCGTAAGGAATGAAACAACAGTGAAATGGATTTGTATTTTCATTATAACTATATATTATTAATATATTACTATTTTCCAGTGAAAATTAAACTTAATATAATATTTAAGCTGAAGCTACACTTGATCTTAGCCAAAAGGCCGAGAAGCGATTAAGCTGAAGCTTATAGAGACTTAATTCATTCCCTTGAATATTTGTGTCACATCAGTTGTTTTTCTTACTTTAGAAGACTTCCATTCATGATCAGTGGGTAGTAAATATCTGTTTACATTTTCTACTGAAAGATATTTGCTAGTATTAGATACTAAGAAGAAAGCATTGATAGATAATGTCATGCTTTATAATATAGTGAATGCTGCAGAAACTTTTACATTCAGAAAGCTGTATGTTATTAACTTTCAAGTCAAGAAAATTAGTAACATCTTAGGGCTTAAAAGAAACCTAGGATGAAAGTTCACATGCATTGCTTATCCTTTATTCTCCTACATTTGCTTTGGTAGAATATTATTTGCTAGGTAGCACTGCATATGTTTTCCATATTTATATATTTTAATGAAATGAAAAGCTAAAAGAGAAATACTTATTGCCATAAGAAAGTAATCAGTTGCAAATAAATTTATATGGTAAAATTTTTTCAACTTTTTTCTCTGCAGCAGTCATGTTGTTAAGCCTAGCAAGTCTTCACTTTTATTTGAAATTTTGACTCGTATATAGAAATTATTTGTTTTGCCTAGAAGTTTAGATGATACAAAGCAAGGGTGTATAGTTGAATATTTGCTTGAAAAATGAATTGCACTTTAACATTTTGTCTAAATTCTGTGGACCAGGGGAAACTCCAAAATACTGCTATTTATATTGTCAGCAGCTATTTATTTATTACTTTGTCTTTCAAGTAACTGGTTTTTGATGTGGGGTTGTATGAGGGCAAAAATTTCTGTCTTTATCCCTGCCGATTATTTTTATAGAAATTTCATAAGAGTCTAATAAGATTCATCATATCTAAATTCATTATATTTTTGTTTTAGCACACGAAAGCTGAAATGCACCTATTTAGTTTTAATAATATTGATTTAATAACAATTTGCCTAAAAGTAGAAGAATGTCTTTTTATTCTACCCAAACCCATGAAGTATGGCATGATAAGACTTTCTCTGTCTCATCAACTCTTCATAAACCTAGATAGTCATTCTGAGTTTCATAAAAAATGGCCAGTTACATGGACACAAACATATCTACATGTATGTACATGCATGGAGGCACAAATTTATACACATACAAATACACAGAGACACACACACTCGTATACAAAACACATCTTCTCTCATAGGCTGTGCTTCAAAGCCACTGACTAAGACAGCAGCCATCCATACAGTATACTATGCTTATATTCAGTGGAGCTACAGGTAGTTCATTGCTACCTGTCACCATGCATTAGGGCTTTTTTTTCTTGCTCTTTACTGTGTTGTAAAAATCTTGTTGTTAATAAATGCTACATGCCTGGAAAAGAAATGTATTTTCTTCTTTCTTAACCCCACTTTTCTCTTATTTTTCTTTCATTTCTACTTCCATCCATTTGCCCAAGTTAGATAACTGAAATCATCCTCAAGCCTTCCCATCCTTATCTCACATAGCAAACTACTTCCTGAGTCCTATAAAAGTTTTCTTCCTTAAATATTTCTCCATCCTGCTCTTTGCTCCTTTTCTCCACTCATAATAGAATGAGAAAGAGTTAGGCACTACTCTCTTGATTTAGTGCCTCTTTCTCATTCTATTATGGTTCTTCCTGTTTTAGAAGCTATCTAAATAGCTGTGCCAGACTTAGCCCTTTTTATCCATTCTGCTCACTAGAGGCCTCTAAATGAAGTGTTTGCACCACAGTAGATGTACAAAATGACTCATTAAATTAATTCTATATAACATCTATTTTAATTTTCATGTCTGAGTCTATTTCATGATTTAAATATGCTAGTACTTTAGAACAGGTACCTAAAACTTCACACATATATATTTATGTTGAAGTGCATATTTCAAATGTTTTTACTATTGAGATGCATCATCAAAAATGACTTTCTGAAAATGTAGTTGTCATATCTCTGCTTTAAATCTCTCAGTGCTTTTTCATTTATTTTTAAAAACCAACCAGATTAGAAAACTAGCATTGATATATTATTACTGTCTAATCCTCAGATTTCATTCAGGTTTGGCCATTAATTTCAGCAAGGTAAGGTCATTTATGGTAAAAGGATTCAGTATAGAATCACAGGTTACATTTAGTTTTCATGTTTCTTTTGTCTTTAATCTGGACAGTTCTTTAGTCTTTCCTTAACTTTCATTAGCTTGTGACTTTTGAAAATTACAGAGCAGTTATTTTGTAGAATGTACTTCACTATGTATTTTTCAAATATTTTCTTGTGGTTTAAATTCATTATAAATCTTTGGTAAGAGTATCACAGATGTGATGCTTTGTGCATTCTACACAAAATTTTTATTTGAATTATAGATAATGATGTTATATCTTAGGAGTTGTCTGCCAGTTTTCTAACTAATTAGTGATTTGTGGGACAAAACCTTGAGACTATATAAAAATATCCTATTCCTTATCAAACCTTAATTTCCTGTTTTATTCAGTGGGGTTATATTGAATGTTATTATTTATTTCTTTTTCAAATTGCTCCAAATTTGGCTAATGAAAGCCACTTCAAGCTGTCTTCTATATCCTTTTGACATGATTCCACTAATCTTCAAGAACTTTCTTGCTGAAGGTCTTCCGGGCAGAAACTAAGATCTGGTGTGATCATTGCTACTGGGATGTTGTTCTTCCTGGTTCTCTCAGTAGACAAAGCCAAGGACTAGGTGTAAGCAGGCATATGTATTCATACCACAGCCACACTTACATCTATATTTTTGTTTTTATAGACATTGAAAACTAATTTTCTTCCTTTTTATCTTTGTAAATAACTCCTTTGTAAATCTCCAACAGAAAACTGGCTCCCATTTTCCTTAATATATATACTCGTATATCATTACTTTCCTGATACGAAACCAATCTCTTATCACCCTCTACTCCTACCCATGTGGATACCTGCTTTGCTTATCATCTGATAACTTTTAAACTGAATAGCTGAGGAAGAGGAGAAAGAAGGGATAAGGACAGACATTTGTGTTTTTTACAAATTCTACAGGTGATTTTATTAGCAGTTAGGAATAAGAACTACTGTTATATCTAGTTTTTAGAAACTTCAGTTTTTACAAAGTTTTGAACCCAAAAATTAACTTTTTGGAATTTTAAAACAAGTACACAATGTGTTTAACCCAAGTCAAATGTCAACAAATTGACATTGTAATATTATGTTGTATATTGCCATATGAGATATAAAGTAGACTTAGTATTGTAGTTAAACAAATAGGACATAGTTCATGCTTCAGTCTTTTCCATTATATTCTTGATAAAGATCTCAACAACTTTTGTCTGCTGAAACACTTAAAATGAAGATAACTTGTCTTAACATCGTTAAATGAACATGTATAAATATTTCTTTTAAAAGTGCTTCCTCCAAGTCATATGTATTCAGAAATGTCACTGAGGATTTAAATGTCCATCATGTACTTTACAGTGACTATGTCAGTT